CACACACACACACACACATATATATATATATATATATATATATATGCATATATGTAGTATATATATATATATCTATATATAAATATACATTTAAAATATACATGGAAAAGGGCGTTGTTAGAGCCTAGCTGCTATTCATCTATATGCGCAATCTGCCACCCATTTCCAGCTAATCCGCCTCCCACCTGCACCTGCTCGTGGATGATTATGTTTAAAACCACGCTCTCTACACCTGGATAAAGCATATGCAATGTTTGCTCTTTTCACCCGCACAGTATTTCATTACATTGATGGATTCCCTTAAGTTGGGGATTGTGGCGGTGGATGAAATCAATCCTTATCTTAATGATATCCTAGAGAGTATGCAAAAGGTGACGACCCTGCCTTCTGATTTCGAAGGCAAAATAACAATGCGGGAATGGTATGGATGTCTATGTGTGTATCATTGGTTATGAATCTAACGAGCCTTCGGTTTCGTACCTCATGTATACTGGTGATATTAGTGGTATATATACCCTCGTATTATGTGCTAATTAATAGGTATAACGGCGAATTAGTTTTTTTTTGATACATTTGGCAGCAGTTATGCGCAGGACAAATATACATGCTTATGAGCGCTTCTCCGCTTTGAAGTGCAATTAATCTGCACGGCTTATATTTAACTTTTGCGGGTTATATCTGTTTTCATAATTCGTTTATATCAGGCTTAAAAAGACGAATGCAATGAAGGCCAGCGATGAGCTGACGGAAGATGACGTGCGACAACTTAGTCACGACCTCGAAAAAGCGCATACTGCCTTCTATCGTTCGCTTTCGTAACAAAAAGCCCGTTATTTTTGTAAAGTGCGAGTCACGTATTGGCCATCATAGTGGGTACATTCTCAAGCGATCCCCCGTGAAATGTACAATTGTGACGATATATGCAGTTTGAAGTTGTTCCTGAACGGCTCGTGCGAGCTGTGTATTGCACACGTGGGAACTTTTGGAAGAATTATAATGGTCCTTTGGCTGGATTCTCGGTGCCTTTTCAAGACGCTGAGATTTTAGAAACCCGCTAGGTTCAATATCCGGACACTAAAACGGAAAGTGGTGGCGTACCGCTATAGCAATTGAAGGCACATCTTTTTTCTGACACGCCCAGAGATTCACTATTAATATTTCATGCCCGTTGCAGACAAGAGTTATAAAATCCATTTTCCCATTTTCGTAAGCTATATTATATGTATTCTGATGCTATCAGTGTCTAATTGTGTCTGTGACCCGTTGTGTGGTTAGGCAAACTACATACCCGTTCATGTGAACCCTGCGCATTACCCCCTACCTGAGAGAACCCGCATAGTATATTGAAGTTCAGCAATGTAATACTCCCTCGACAAAGATGTTACGAAATGGACGAATCTTGAGTGCATGAACAGTGCGCGAAAAATGGTCAGCCGCTAGACAAGCTCTGTGCATACCAATAACCTAATTACTAGTGACACGTGTAATTGAACCTTATGCACGACATGTTCGATCAACTTCGGTATCATCACCAGACGCAGCCAGCTCATTCAAAGGAAAGCTACCAGTCGAGGTATATCTTGATGATCTTTGTGCACACTCGCGGGTGCGTGTCATTGACAGCACTAGCTTTCGACTATTAGACAAACCACAAGACTTTCATTCGAAAAAGGATCAATAACATTTAGATTATTGCTCCCTACCTCACGACCACGCTCCAGTTGTGCAGCACGTATATACGGCATATTTTATATATATACATTAGTGTACTTCTTCAACTTCCAATTCCGTCAGGAAAGTCAAATTGCGAACTTCAGTAGTATCTTATGCCAAAAACCAAGATGAACTGTTCATAGTCCGTATAGTGCTTCGTTACAATTAGTTTTAAGACTGCACTGCAGCATTTAAGGTAATCAAGCTTACAAAACTATTTACAAAAGCAGGCAGGCCTTTCTCTTCTTCTGTCTGGTGGCAAGTGCCGCTCGTGTTGCAGCCTCGAAGACCTCCAGCACACCCTCTTTAGTCTTAGCCGAACATTCCATGTACGACTGAGCGGTTATTTGACGGGCCATGGCCTCAGCTGCCTCCACCTTTACGGGCTCCTGTTTAAGCTTGGCCAATTCTTGCTTGGTATGGGGATCATCTCTTAAATCTGAGCATGGTAGATATGCAAAGTAATTTGAATGAGAAATTTGCAACCTGCATCGCGATTTACAAACGTTTTAGTACGAGCATATAGGAGCATTACATTAATATGAGATTCATACAGTTGATCGAGAATAAGTATGAGCAAGTATTGGGTATAAAGCATTTGGTATAAATATATATCTACGTAGTATTGATCATACAAACTTCTACATAATCAATACAAATAAGCATATGTGGTCATTTGTCTCACCTTATGATCTGCTCGTGGGTACGATCCTCACTTAAGAACATAACACGTAACTGATGTTAGCGGCGCGAGTGTTTGACTTATATTTGAACGTACCTGTTTTGAGTCCGACCAAGATGATAGGTACGCTCGGGCAGAAGTGACGCACCTCCGGAGTCCATTTATCAGGGATATTATCCAAAGAATCAGGATTATCTACGCTGAAACACATGAGAATCACGTCTGTGTCTGGATATGAGAGTGGTCTGAGACGATCGTAGTCTTCTTGTCCAGCTGTATCCCAAAGTGCAAGCTCTACCTGTTTGTTGTCTACATCAATGTCGGCCACATAGTTCTCGAACACTGTGGGTACGTACGTCTCGGGGAACTGTTATGGAAACGGAGTGGTGCCCATAGATCAATTACGCGTAGTTGGGATTGCATTCACGGTCCAAGAAATGTAAATAAAATGCAGTAATCAATGCCACGCACGAATTTGAAATGAAGAAATGACCATTGTAGTGTTGAAGCAAAGCAAACTAATAAACGCACAATATGATGTGGACAAAAAATTAGAAACAGTACTGATGTGTCAGGAATAGTACTCGTGATGAGTTTGAAACAGTACTTTTGTGCAACTATTCTCCTAGCTGTCAGATTTTACCTTTTTTCACTGTGCATTTTCCATAATCAGTCTGTTATACGTTCCTATAGGAGTTAAATTCCACAACTAGATAAGACGTACCTGGTCCTTAGAGAATACTATCAGAAGGCAAGTCTTCCCGCAGGCACCATCGCCCACGATCACCAGTTTCTTTCGGAGTGCACTGTTAGCCATTTTATTCTGAATTCATATAGGGAGAATAAAATATAGTTAGACAAGACGGTCGACAGAGAGAAATTGAGAATTCAAATGTCACGCACTCAACTGTATAAATGTTGCTTCTGAACATATTAACGAGCGAGAGTACAGTATTGCTACGGTTCACCTACCGGAGGTATTGATACTGATTTTTAGTGTATTAAAGGTGTGAGAGTGTAACTATACAGTTTTGAGCTCGATAATAAAAGATCATCAATGGATGAGACTATACTTAAACTGTTACGTAGTCTCGTTTCACATACGTTGCTGCTGCCGCTTGGGTAGTCGCTCTTGCTTGTGTGGAGTGAAGTGGAGAGTGTGGATGGGTGTCGGGCGAGAAAACAATTCTTATCTATAATTTGTAAAATAAATACATATTGCGTATGTATCAAATAATGTAATCCCCAGAGAGTATGAAATGTAACAACTGTGGCGGATAAGAATAAAGAATGATGTCTTAAAATATCTATATTTCAATCGAATTCAATTGGTCCAGAGATTAAGCAGTCACTACACAACCCGAAAGGAGTATTAAAATACACCAATAAAAGAGCATTCGATAATGATAAAAAAATATAAACATCTAGAGCTTTGTGTCGTAAAAGAAATTGGTACACAAATAAAAAACACTTCTTCGGGCCATCGGATAATCGGAGAGATCGGATCGATAAGAATTTTTGAATTTCCGAAATTTCGCACTTGAAGTTGTCAAGTTGAAGTTGACGGGCAACGGTCTCTGTCGGTGCGAGCGAGGAATATGATGTGTTCAATATTGTCGTAAAGTTTATTTGTCGCTGTCGAAAACTGGGAGAAATTGTCACACATTCTACTGGCCGATAATAACCTCATTAATCTGCGACCTGGGGCCTGGGGCTACTACTTAGGCTATGCTGCCTATGACTACAATAGACGTGCAATGCGGGTGTGATGAATGTGGTCACTGGCTCTTTGAGTCCCTGACTCTCTGGTGTTGCAATATAATTTTCCTTCGTCCACATTCATTAACGTACCGTTTTCCATGCAACGGTGCTATCTACTTCATGAATACAAAATCACAGTTCATACAGCAGGTATTTCTCACCATCTTAATTTGCAAATACTTTTACTATACGACAGCCATGAAGGGCAGTTACTTACCCGTATACACTAAGATAGGAGTACTCAATAGGGAACTGAAAGAAAAGGATTCAGAAACAGCGTTGATACGATAGGAACTGCTTCTGATCTATTTGAATGTAGCATGTTGGGTTCTTCTTAGGTTATAGACAAAAGACTTTGTTCAGTGGATTCATATTTATACAGTTGTTTTAAATAACACAGAATGAAGGTTCAACATGAATCTTTCAAGTGGATATTGTGCAACGTTCTCATTTATTTATGGTCTTAAACATTCTTTTCGACTGATTTGTCGTATAGACTTTTTCGAACACGCTAGCCCTGAGCGAATTTTCACATAGACCGTTCAGCAGAGCGATTTGATGAGAAGTCGCCAGGATAGCACATTCTTCATATTTTTGAACGCGAACAGAGAACGAACTATATCCGTGCCATCCGATCCAAGAGTATATGTTAGACTTTTACATCACAACAAAAGAGACCTGTTGCAACAAATAATGAAAACTTGTATGTTGCACACACCAGAAGTTGAATAGTATACTTGCTGAAACTGGAAATTGACGTTGAAATTGGAAAACACAAATCGAATGTTATTCTCAAAATCACGGAGATACAGGATATCAAACGTATCGAGCTCGCATCGTTAAGATTGGACTACACGTGTCGAGCTTGCCACGCCGAATCGAGCTAACAATTTACGATTTTATCTAAGATATATGCGAGTGAGCCCTGCAAGGGGATACAGCATATAAATATTCGCTACCACCACTATAAGACGTATGCACATACAGTGGCCTGTGATAAACTGTCTTAGACTCTTCCGATTTAAAAAAAAATACACATCATTTTGTGTTGTTGCTGACAGATGGGCCGATGGAGAGTGGTAGAAAATACCTCAATCTGCGACAATACTCGCAACATTTCATGTGGGCAAAAATCCCCTTTGCAATCACCAATGAAAACTTCCCTCCATCAGTACATAATTACATATTTATTTACATAGCCTCCTAAATTCTAAAAAGAAGTTCACAGGACACAGAGGATTATGATATTTGCCAAATTTCATAACCGGCCCTCTCTGACTTTCCACAGTCCACTGGCCCCACACACAGAAAGAGCGGGCATACGCTTCTCTCTAATAGACCTATTTTAAAACACCTTGTGTGCAATCATTCCTTTCGCACATCATCTTCGTTCCCGACAACTAAAAGGATAATGCCTGACACGTTGTCAGACAAGAAGACCGCAGAGCTTGAGCTCGCAGCGTTGGATAACCCTTGGGTGAGCAAGAAGCCTGAGAAACCGATTCGATGGATAATGCTGAGTCCAATCATATGGGCAGGTGTGTACACAGCAGCTGCGTTTGACCACGACTGTTCGCTACACGATGTATTCAGTCTTAGCACTCGCTATAAAATTTTATACCATAGTGACACCGGAAGGCGGGAAGTGCACGAGTCTGTATCGGGGTTCACGGTTAAATGGGTGTTTCGGGTACATGTGATATTCTGAAATACAGGGTTTAGCGAAAGTATGCGTAACTGATCACTTTGATTTATTCAACAGCACTACACGCATGACGCGCGCTGCACGTATTTCAGGCATAACTATGCGCACTCGCCTAGCATTCTCTATTCGTGGTTCGCATTCGAGTATTAACCAACTCATTTTGAACACATCTTTCTTACGCATAGGGATATTACCCATGGCACGAATTGTATCGGGAGAGAATCGAGTGTTAAGAAACCGAGTGTTTGCGGGGTGCGGCGTGGCGGCCCTAGCACACTCATACTTCCTAACTCTCACTAATGACGGCTTCCATTGAAAGGAGGGGCGCTAACATATACCCACTCAATATGTTTCTTATGCCTGTACGACTTGTTTTTGGTGATTTATTGTGTACTTCACGATGTGCCTGTCGGTCCCCGACTCTCTAGATTGCACCATAACAACAAGTAACACCTCCCAGATGGCAATTGTGTCTCGGCAAAAAGAAAGGAACAGACAGCTAGCTGTTTAGCACTTCTCTCTATTGATTCAACTCTGGCTACGACATAATACGCCAGGAAGGAGGAGGAAAGGGGGAAATCGACAATTTGCGCTGGATTTGCTCCTTGCCACACTCTGGAATCCGTTCTATCCTTGACAATAGAGTCGTTTAAGCTGACACAGATAAGGTGTCAACCGCACACATTAAACCTTCGTATATGAGGAGCGCCGAAGTTTTGTTGTAGTTTACATCCCAAAATATTGGACGATATCCAGGATCTATCCACAGTGACCAAGTACCAACACGTACATGAACTCGTGCTTCTGACCTCGCATGTTTCTTTGGCTACCAACAACCGGTCACGGATATACCAAATATAAAGGAATCCTTCCAATCGCGCACATAAAATCACTTTGAAGACGTCCACTCGAAAATGTGTGACTGTGAAATCTCACACTAGTTAATTCTATCGAAGGATGCCCATTTAGCGTGTATCAGGAAGTGCGTGCATATAAATTGAAAATTACATAGAGGGAAGGCTTCGCAAAGTAATATCAGAGGCTTCAGCTTGTCCTGACTATGTGGCAAACCCACAATGCCCCACGATAGAAAAGATCAGAAATACTTGGGCTCAATTCCAGGTCCCAAAGTGCGCGAAAATATCCCCAAGATGAGATACAGGGTATGTATACTCGTCCATCCATCCCTCCATTATACATGACGTGGATCACGAGCCTGTGCTACGGTATGAGCGCGATTAGTTCGCATGAAGCAACTACTGAATCGAATGGCATGTAAAGCACACAGCTGTATGTGTGAATTCTGGTATAGCCAATTTCGAACCGGCAGGCAAGGACTAGACATGCTGGTAATTGATTGCAATCGTCTGGGTGCCTGCGTAAACAACCACCGATATGTTGGCAATTTCCAATATTTGTGGATTATTCCTATTGGGCATTCGCTGTTGCACATTTCTGGCAATACCATTTTCCCCTGGGTTTTTGTGTCAGCTTAACACACCCGAAATGGAACCATTCGGTCTGACATGTACTGTTTTCACACGCCACCATCTCGCCATAAGCCACCTGTAAAGGGGGTAGCGGATTTAAATCCAATATTAAGTAGCTTAACAAATGATGGCGCTACAATACAATATGCATAGAAGACTTATCCAGAGGTGCAGGAAAGAACAAAACGAGTCACTGCCAGGGACCGCTATTTGCTTAAACTTAGCATTGCTGCAAGCCATAGAGATTGCGGTAATTCGCAAGAACCCAGGATAAAGTGTTAGTCAAGGACGCATTGTGACCTCAAAAGTAGGAAGGAAGTATGTACAGCGTATCTGAAAATATCGTACAAACTTTATGGTACCACATTGTCCTAGCTATACCAGAATAAAATTACCTGCTGACATGTGCAGTACGTGGGTTCATTTGGATCTACCGGCATGTCCATTTCGATATCTATCTTCGGCTGTTTGAAATATTTGAAATCGTGAGAAAAAAGACGTTTGAATAACTCGCACTAATGCATATTTA